TCGACCAATTTCTAGCTGAGCAAACAGCACTGGGAGAACTGAGTCTGTTTTGCTCTAGCCTCTCCAACATTTGTCATTTTTTTCTTTTGTCGTCTTTGCCAATCTTAGGCGTGTGAGTTAGAACCTCAGATTTGCTTTAATTTACATTTCTGTAGTATTTGGTTTGGAGTATTTTTATATGGTTGTTGATGGCATGAATTTCTTCCTTTGAAAAGTGCCCCTTTATGTTTTTTGACCATTGATAAAAATGTTAACAGCATAAGGATCAGCATAGGCCCCTTTCTACCCTTGTGGTGTCACACAAGATAACTTGCTAAGGCTTTCCTCACTGAGAAAGCCTCCTCCCCTTCCATGTATCTGTCCTACATTTTGTTGGCTATCCTTGCCTGCGTCCTTAAAAAAAACTTCACTAGACTTGCCCGTTTTCCCATAGCTATGCTCCTATAGCTCTCCTCCCCTTCTCAACTAAAATCTTTGAGAAAGCTAGCTTTGTATGCTAGGTGCCTGTCTTTTTTCTCACTTGCTTCTATGCCCTCCATAGCTCTCCTTGCTTCTGACCTTGGTTTTCAACTGTTCTCTCTCAAATTATCAGTAATCTCTTAATTGCCAAATCTTAATGGCTTTTTTCTCAATCCTCATCCTTTTTGACTTCTTCAAAGTCTTTGACACCATCTACTCTTGGATATTCTCTTTTGTTGTTCAGTCATTTTCAGTGGTGTCTGATTCTCTGTGACCCCATTTTTTTGTCGGGGAGTCTAGGCAGTGGGATTAAGTGATTTGCCCAGGGTCACACAGCTAGTAAGTGTCTGAGGCTGGATTTGAACTTAAGTCCTCCTGACTCCAGGGCTGGTGCTCTATCCACTGCGCCACCTAACTGCCCCATTTTTTTTGGGGGGGGGGGCAAAGATGCTAGAGTGGTTTGTCATTTCCTTCTCCAGCTCATTCATTTTACAGATGAGGAAACTTGGGCAAACAGGGTTAAGTGACTTGCCCAGAGTCACATAGCTAGTCAGTGGCTGAGGCCAGAGTTGAACTCAGGAAGATGAGTCTTCCTGACTCCAGGCCATTACACCACCTGAGCACACAGTTTGGATTAAATAAGTACTTGACTGAATGGACAGAGGGGTTGGCCTAGGAATTTCCCTTTTCCTTTTCTCCTTTCTTATAAATACTTGGAGATATTTTCTTTCTTTTTTTAAAATATAAATTAATTTATTTTTAGTTTTCAACATTCACTTCTACAAGATTTTGAGTTCCAAATTTTCTCTCCATCTCTCCCCTCCCCCCACCCCAAGATGGCATGGATTCTGGATACCCCTTCCCCCAATCTGCCCTCCTTTCTTTTACCCCCATCCCCCATTCTCTTATCCCATTCCCCTTCTATTTTCCTATAGGGCAGGATAGATTTCTATACCCCATTGCCTGTACATCTTATTTCTTGGTTGCAAGTAAAAACATTTTAAACATGCATTTTTAACACTTTGAGTTCCAAATTCTCTTCCTTCTTCCTTCCCCACCCACTCTCATTGAGAGGCAAGCAATTCGATATAGGTTATACATGTGTAGTCATGCAGAACACTTCCATAATCGTCATGTTGTCCCATTTATTCTATTCTCTTTGACCCTGTCCCTCCTCAAAAGTGTTTGTTTCTGATTGCCCCCTTCCCCAATCTGCCCTCCCTTCTATCATCCCCCCCTTTATCTTCTTTCCCCCTATTTTCCTGAAGGATAAGATAGTTATCTATAACCAACTGAGTGTGTATGTTATTCCCTCCTTAAGCCAAATCTGATGAGAGTAAGATTCATTCATTCTCTCTCACCTACCCTGTTTTCCCCTCCACAGGAGGGAAATTCACCTCTTTTATGTGAGATAATTTACCCCATTCTACCTCTCTCTTTCTCCTCCTCCCAGTATAATTCTGTCACCCCTTAATTTTATTTTTTACATATCATCCCTTCATATTCAACTCATCCTGTGCCCGCCCTCTCTCTCTCTCTCTCTCTCTCTCTCTCTCTCTCTCTCTCTCTCTCTCTATATATATATATATACTACCCTAATATTGAGAAAGGTCTCATGAGTTACAAATATCATCTTTCCATGTAGGAATATAAACAGTTCAACTTTAATAAGTCTCTTGTGATTTTTCCTTCCTGTTTACCTTTTCATGCTTCTCTTGAGTCTTGTATTTGAAAGTCAAATCTTCTATTCAGCCCTGGGCTTTTCATCAAGAATGCTTGAAAGTCGTCTGTTTTATTGAATGTCCATTGTTTCCCCTGAAAGATTATACTCAGTTTTGCTTTGTAGGTGGTTCTTGGTTTTAATCCTAGCTCTTTTGTCCTCTGGAATATCATATTCTAAGCCCTCTGATCCCTTAATGTAGAAGCTGCTAAATCTTGTGTTAATCCTGATTGTGTTTCCACAATACTTGAATTGTTTCTTTCTGGCTGCTTGCTGCAATATTTTCTCCTTCACCTGGGAACTCTGAGATTTGGCTATGATATTTCTAGGAGTTTTCCTTTTAGGATCTCTTTCAGGAGGTGATTGGTGGATTCTTTCAATTTCTATTTTACCCTCTGGTTCTAGAATATCAGGGCAGTTTTCCTTGATAATCTCTTAAAAGATGATGTCTAGGTTCTTGTTTTTGATCATGACTTTCAGCTAGTCCAGTAATTTTTAATTATCTCTCCTGGATCTATTTTCCAGATCAGTTGTTTTTCCAGTGAGATATTTCTCATTGTCTTCTATTTTCCTCATTCTTTTGGTTTTGTTTTATAATTTCTTGATTTCTCAAAGTCATTAGCTTCCATTTGCTCCATTACAATTTTTATGGAATTATTTTCTTCAGTGAGCTTTTGAACTTCCTTTTCCATTTGGCCAATTCTTTTGCCATTTGGGTTGGTCTATTTTTAAGGTGTTACCTCGGTATTTTTTTGGATTTCCTTTAGCAAGCTGTTGACTTGTTTTTCAAGATTTTCTTGCATCACTCTCATTTCTCTTCCCAGTTTTTCCTCTGTTTCTCTTAGTTGCTTTTCAAAATCCTTTTTGAGCTCTTCTTGGCCTAGGACCAATTCATATTTTTCTTGGAGGCTTTGGATGTAGGAGCTTTGACTTTGTTGTCTTCTTCTGGTTGTATGTTTTGATCTTCTTTATCACCAAAGTAAGATTCTATAGTCTGAGGTTTTTTATACTGTTTGCTCATTTTCCCAGCCAATTACTTGACTTTTAAACTCTTTGTTAAGGTAGGGCTCTGCTTCCAATGTGGAGGGCGTACTGTCCCAAGCTTCGGGGGTTTTTTGTAGCTGTTTTCAGAGATACTTCTAGGGAACTGTAAATTTTCAGTTTTTCTAAGGTGATATGATCTAAGGAGAGGTGTTTACTTCTTTCCTGGCCTATGCTGTGGTGTATAAGTGACCACAAGCACTCTTTTCTGCCCAGGAACTGTGAGGAGGATTCCCTCTCCTCTGCTACTGCAAACTCTGCCATGCCAGCATTTCTTCTCGACCCAGGATCACCACTCACCACTATGACCCAGATCCAAGCATGAGCAAATCGAGAGTACCAGCAAAGAGATCCTTGCAATCTCCCTCTGATCAGCCACTGGATACTCCCTCAGTCTCTGGCCCAAGAGCTCTGGAAGCAGCTGCTGCCCCAGGGCTGCACCGGGACTGGGGCTGAGACTGGGACTGAGCTTCTCTCTCATCATGGTCAGACAGACCTTTCCCACTGACCTAAGTTGTCTTTGTCGTTTGTGGTTTGAGAAGTCTGTATACTGCCACAGTTCTCCTTGACTTGGTCCCCTGAGGCCTGTTCCGGCTTTCCTCTGGCCCGGTCTTTTCCTGTTCGGCCCATACTGAACTGTGCTCCTCTCCCAGCCTGGCCCAATAGTCCTTTCCTGTCAACTTTCCAGGCTGTCTTGGGCTGGAAATTTGTTTCACTCCATCTTTTTGTGAGTTCTGCTGCTCTGGAATTTGTTTAGAGCCATTTTTTACAGGTATTTGGAGGAGTTTGGGGCAGAGCTCAAGCACGTCACTGCTTTTACTCCTCCACCTTGGCTCTGCCCCAGAGAGATATTTTCTGATTAAGAACTAGATTCCTTAGAGTGTGTTCCAGTTTGCAGCATGTTCTACCCTAGTTGAACCAAAGACGCTGCAGAGCTTTAGAGTACTTCATCTTGTCCTGATGTGTTTGAGTTCTTTCTTCATTCTCTAAGTACGGGTTGATCCAGTTCTGTCAGACCAGACCTCTTGGCCCTGAGCACCTTGGAAGCAGATGAGCTTGTCTTTCACAGGCGGAGGGGGTGATGAGTATGAGTAGTTGTACACATATATATATGTGTGATACTTTACCATTTTGAAGGTCTTTCATCTTATCTTTGTGTCATCCCTGGGAAGTGAAGTTAATTAATTTTCATTGATGGGGAAACTGAAGCCCATGGAGTTCAAGGGCTTAAGCACATATTGTAATTTTCAGAGCTGGACTTCAGTCCCAAGTCTTGGGAATCTTAAGTGAAGTTTGCTTTTCACTATACTGTGAACTTGGTCAGTGACTTGCTATAGTAGCATTACCAGTGACTTTCCAAGCAATTACATGGAAGCCAATGAAAGGCTTTTTCCCTCCATTGCTGGTGCCCAGCCCTGAAGTATTTCGGTGGAACTGGTGTTCCATATATTTTATATTTTAATATTCCATTTTTAGCCTGAGTTCCACCAGTTTCTTTCTCCTTACATGGAATACTGTTGTCTAAGCGCCAATTGTTGATGTCTGACATAATAGACTACTCTTGTAGTCACTTTTAGGTGACTGTGAGTAGTGGCTATCCATTATGGGTATCTTGATTTGGATTCTCTTTGTTCCTAAATTTCTTTCCTACTGAACAAGCACTCTCCAAAAGTGTAATTGCATGAACTGCCTCCCAATAAAAATGAAGCTCCTTGTTGCATTGTTGAATTATTCTTATAGAACCTTACCTATATAGTGATTCCAATTTCTTTATTTTTAGCCAATTATAATGAATTGTATCAGTGGTCAGTGGATTCATACTCAGATTTCTGGGCAGAGTTCTGGAAATTCAGTGGAATTGTCTTCTCTCGTATGTATGACGAGGTGAGTGTATCATTTTTAGGTTTTTACCCTTAATATAGATAACTTAACAAAGTTCTTTACACTGCAAAATACCAGGGGTCTTGAAAGGAGGCCTGTCATCACAGCTTATTGTGGCTGTCATCATGCGATACTGTGAATAGAGAGCTGGCTTTGCAGTCCAGAAGATAATTACTGTGTGAGGATAGCCAAGTTACTTAACCTCTTAGTCTCCCAGGCAACTTTCTAAGACTCTTAAGGTGAACAAATGTCACTGATCTGTATTGGTGGAGGGAATTCCCACACTGAAAGTTCCCTACACCAGTAAAATCCCAGGTCCAGCCCCTGCCCTACTTCCCCATCTGTTTTGTGTGATACAGAGATATGGTTAGTTAACAATGGGCAAAACACTGACAAAGTTATATCCTTTTATATTTTGGTTAAAATATCATCTGTGAGTTAATTGAAGAAGCAACACTGAATAGAATTTCAGTGAAAATTACACTGAGCTGTCTCATGGACTCTTGAGTGTAGACCATAGCTTTTTAGTCTGTTCTTCTAGATTACCTTTGGTGTTTTCACTTGGGAAGTTGGCTGATTTTCTCCAAAAGAAATGGAGAAAATCCAGAATGCATGGCATTAGTTTCTACTTTTCACTTCCAGGGCATTTGGAAAGCTTTAACAAATTTAAAACCCTTTTAAGGAGTACTTTGGATCAGCCAGTTGGCTAGTTTTCTAGTTGGATAGCTTAGAAAACAATGGTGATGATTTACTGGCTCTTAATTTGCACTGTCATTTTCTCTAGGTTGTTGATCCATCGAAGGGAATTGCTGATGTTCCTGAGTGGTTCAAAGGCAGTCGTCTGAATTATGCTGAAAACCTTCTGAAGCACAAGGAAAACGACAAGATTGCCCTGTATGCTGCAAGTGAGTCTTCACTCCTCATTTCAGATTCTCTTCTATGCATGTTGCAAGTGCCCGAGCTGCCATTTCAGTACCACAAACATTTATTAAGCACCTGCTGTGTGCAGAGCCCTGTGCTAAGCTCTAGAGGAGACACTCACAAGGTCTAAGTCTGGCAGAGATCTTGTTAGCTTTTAGCAAGAAGAGGATAGTATTTTTTAAAAATTAATTTAAATTTAAAATGAATTCAATTTTAATTTTCATTTCCAAATTATTTTCCTCTCTCTATCCTCTCCCCATTAAGAAGGTAAGAATTACAGTGCCTGTCATACATATGAATAATATAAAACATATTTCCACATTAGTCATGTTCTGAAAAGGAAAAAAAAAGAAAAAGAGTAAAAAATATGCTTCAGTTTGTGCGCTTGAGTCTGTTGCTCTCCATCTGGAGGGGATAGCTTTCATACGAGTCCTTTTGAATTGTTTTGGAGTTATTAAATCTTTCACAGTTATTTATTATTACAATATTGCTGTTATTGGGAAGGTTATTCTCCTAGTTCTGCTTACTTCACTTTGTATTAGTTCATGTAAGTCTTCCCAGGTTTTTCTGAAACCATTCCCTTCATGTCTTATAGCTTAATAGCATTCCATCACATTCATATACCATAGTTCTTCATCCATTTCCCCAGTTGATGAGCATCCCCTCAGTTTCCAATTCTTTGCCACCATGAAAATAGCTGCTGTAAATACTTGTGTATCGATCCTTTTCTTTTTTCTTTGATTTCTTTGGTGTATAGATCTAGTAATGGTATTGCTGGGTCAAAGGGTACAAACAGTTTGATAGCTCTTTGGACATAGTTCCAAGTTGTCCTCCAGAATGGTCAAATCAGTTTACAACTCTGCCAGTGAAAGCACTACTGTATTTGTTTTCCCACATCCCCTCTAGCATTTGTCATTTTCCTTCTCTGTCATGTTAGCCCATGTGATAGATGTGAGGTAGTACCTCAGAGTTGTTTTAATTTGCATTTCTCTAATTATTAATCTTTCAGAGCATTTTTCCCAGTGGCTATAGGTGGCTTTGATTTCTTAAGAAAACTGTCTGTTGATATCCCTTTACCATTTATCAGCTGGGGAAAAGAAGAGTATAATATTTGGACCCTCATCATATTCACTTGCTAAAAGATTTTCATTATGTTCTCATTATGTCTGAGACACTAGTGGGGAGCTCACTCCCACTTTATAGATGAAGAGAGGTCAGCACAGGGGTTCCATGTTACTGCACTAAACTCATACATATCCATTTAGCTGTGGTGGTGGAGCTAGATCTCAAGTCTACCAAATCTTGGCCCAGTGATTTTTGCATCAGATTTTTTTTTTCTTTTTTATATATTTCTTTTTTTTGCTAGGCAATTGGGGTTAAGTGACTCGCCCAGGGTCACACAGCTAGTAAGTGCTGTGTGTTGTGTCTGAGACCTAATTTGAACTCAGGTCCTGCTGACTTCACGGCCAGAGCTGTATCCACTGTGCCACCTAGCTGCCGCCTTTTTTTATCTTTTAGAAAATAGAATGTGCAGATATGTGTTAATTTATTTTAATAGCTGTATTCATGATAAATTGAGTAAATTAGATACTTTTCAAATGCAAATAATTTTTAAATGCACTGTTTTGTAAAGAAATTGTGGTTATCCTTTTTATGAAGTGAATAATCATTTCCTAATTATTTATTTACTTTTTGTAAAGTTGGACTTTCACACATATTGAAATTTTATTTAATGTCTGGGAATGTGTGTTATACTGCTGGGTTCCTTTCTCTAAGGAGTAGAAATTGGTAATAGCTCAGCTGGCCTAATTCAGATAGAGGACACTTGCTAGGCTGGATTTGACCATGCTTTCAATCTTCCATTTCTATCACAGTATGAATGACAGCCCTAGGCCCCTACAGCAGCGACAGAGAGGAGGAATAATCTAGGAGTGGCCCCTGGGCATGGCTTCCTTGGGACTCAGCCGGCCTCCCTGTGCTTACTACATGCTCTTTCTCACTGCTTCATTTAGGCTGATTTGATCCAGGATGTACTAGCTGCCTTTCCATTATTTTTCTCCTTTTACATAATACCTGGAACCAAGCGATTGTGCAGTGTGATGTCCTCTCCAGCTGCTCTGGCTGCTCCAGGGCAGTCTTTTTTGCCCAACTCAAAGTGCTTCTTTGGCTCTTCCCTCTTTGCCACCGGGCACTTCCCACTCTCTCCCAGGGATGTTAACAGTGTTCCAAATTGGTCAATTTTTTTAGGTGATCAAAGCTCACTCCTTTAAGTGGCAAAACTTTTATTACGTTGGAAATCTTTGCTTGCATGAAGGGTAGCTTGGTGCAGGGGAAGGGAAATTGAATGTAGAGGCTGGACAGCCCTGGTTTTATGCCCTGTCTGTGGACTTTGCTGGCTGTGTGACCCTGGGCAGGTACTCTGGCCTTGCTGAGCTGCATTTTCCTTGTTTGTAAGATGGGGATGCTGACAGGCAGGTTGTGAGGGAAAACACTGTGTAAACCCTGCAGTCACAATGTAAATCACTAACATTATTGTATCATGCCTTAATACACTGATATCATTTGAGTTTGTTGAGTTGTGTAGGGCTATGCAGCCCCATGTTAAGCGGCTCTAATCAGTTAAGCCTTTTTAATTGAGTGCTTGGTTCTAACAGTTTTTCTGTCTCCTCTCTCATAGTGAGATCTCACTTTTTTGCTACTCTCATAGTACTTGTTAGTGGTAGTTTTTGACCTCTTCTCACCTTCCCTTTTGTAATTTACTGCATCTAGTCTGCTCTGTGCTTGGAAACCCAATAATTAGGCTTGTTAAAATTCCATGTAAAATAAGAGTAAGTAGTCCATGAGTACGAGTTCTTTTGTGACTAAAACTATGTGGTAGTGTGTGGCCTTTGTGATACTTATTTGGAGGCCTTTTTTTTGCTTTCTTTCTGGATCTTTTTGGATATATGAGATTGTCAGAAGCATGGTCTCCAGATGTCTACTTTACTATATTGGCATTTGTTTAAAATGAGGCAATCCAGTGATATAGTCCATCCTAAACTTTCTTTAAAACAACAGCAACAGCAGTATATGGACAACAGTATATGTTTATGCCTGTGAATGTATTCATTGTGGGAAAAGAAGATAAGTGTGCTGAAGCATCAGGGAAAGGACTCCTGATTTGTTTCACCCACCAGTTCTGCTCTTCATTGTAGCCTCAGGGTCAGTGACTTAACTCTTGGAGGCACCATGGTTTATGAAGGCAGCTTCAGGTACACCTTGCTTTAAGTAAACCTAATGTATTTGATTCTGGTTTATAAAACAGATTAGGAGAGAATTATTTGCTTTGCAAAGATTCATCATAGGATTTTAAAAAGAATAATATATATCCTTGGTGATTGAAGAACAGGATTCATCTGACACACCATTCTTTCAGATGTGTGCCAGTGGTGTATAGTGAACAATCTATTGTGTATGAAGACTGGAAGGGGAAATCTCAGATGCTGGGTGTTGCTAACTATGGAATGTCAGGTCCATGCATTACTCTGGGCAGTACCTTTGTCATGCAGTAATTGTGTTCCATTTTGTGTTGTATTGATTTCCATATATGTAACCCCTCTGTTAGAATCTAAGCTCCTTGAGGGTAAGGGATCATCGGCTCATAGATTTGGAGCTGAAAGGGGATTTTGACCTCATCTTCTTATTTTCTGTGTGAGGAAACTGAGGCCCAGATGGTTGAATGACTTGCCCAGGGTTATACAGATAGTAAGTGGAAGAACTGGGGCTTGAACACAGGTCCTCTTGACTCCAAATTCAGTTCTATTTACATTGCACAATGTTCCTCACTTTTGTACTTAATTTTTATATTCAAGTGAACATGTAGTTGTCTAGTCTCATTATCTAACACAGTGTTCTACACATAGTACCTACTCTGTTCTATCGAATTAACCAGACGATTGTCTTATAGAAATCACAGCATCTCAGACTGAAGAAATAAAAGGCCTAACCCATATCTCAACGAAAATCCTTCTTTAGCCTGGTTGATCAGTGGCCATCCATTCTCTCTTCTGAAAGCTGGATTAAAGGGAAGCTTACTCTGGCCTAAAGCAACCCTGGACACCTCTGATGAATCGTTAGAAAGTCCTTCCTGCCACCTAAGTCTGCCAGTCTCTCTCCCTTCCCCCCTTTGCTACTGTCTCTGCCTTTTGGGACCAGGCAAGACAAGTTTAACCCTTCTGATGGTCAGTCCATTTGAGAGAGTGAATAAAAGGACAGGAACAGCCTATGGGTACTGAGATTTACTTAAGACTTAGAGAGCCAGAAGTTTACCTTTCGTCTTATATAATCCTGAAGAACTCCTGTTTCAGGGTGTTCCTTTTCCCACTTTTGGTAAACCTTTGGGTTTTTGAAATGATTATAAAAGTGCTATTGAACCAGCAATACTAGGCTGCCAGAGGGCCAACCATTATCTTGCCTGGGTCCTGACTTTGGGGCTTAGTAAACCTTTTTAATATTTGTTTTTCTCATTTCTCTTTAGAGTTTGAGATGTGATGTTCTTATGCCTTGGGCTTATTGAATTTGCCTTTTTTTTTTTTTTTTTTAACATTGAAGCCCCTTAACTCCTTCCATTTTAAAATTTATAAGTGTCCACAGACCAGATGAGCTCCACTGTTACGTATTCCTTTTAAGCAGGAGAAAGTAAAGTCAAGACTCTGAATTTGGCATTTTATTAACTTTGTTTTCTTTGGGTACCATTCTCATCTGAGTTGCTCACTAATCTCCATAGCTCTGTGCTGGTCCTCGCAAGGTTCTATTCTGAGCTCTTTTGGCTGTTTTAGATCTAATCCTTTCCATGTATAATCCCATGAGCCTCTGATACCTCCAAATAAATTGAAATTGCATCAATTGTTCATTGCCTTCACACTCCAATGAGTGGTGCAAAAATAATATGCAATGAAACTCCAACTCTGTATATTGAAGCACCAACCAGAGGCTCGTGATATGTTGGAGCTGTAGGAATCTAAGCTACTGACCATTTTTTACTCAATAGAAGGTGATCATTTTGGTAATGCCGAAGGAAGGAAAGAAGGAAGGAAAGGAAGAGTAGAGTTAAGGGGAGTAGAGGAGGAAAGGAGGAAGGAACACAAGAAGAATGGAAGAAAGGGAAGGAAGGAAGGAAACAAGCATTTATTAAGTACCTCTCAAGTGCTAGGCACTGTGCTAAGTGTTTTACTGAGAAGTGATTAACAAATTTCCCTGATAACCACGGAGAAGACTTGTGTACCTCAACTTAAGCAACTCTGCTGATATACTTTAATATCAATGCACATCAAAGATAAATTAAGGGATAATTATTCATTTAAAAAGAATGTTTTATTCTTGCTAAAACATTTATAGCTGATTTCTCTTAAATAGTGAGCTTCCTAAGTATACATAAAACTTTTGATGGGCTAACATTTCCTTTTGGATTATCTGACCGTTTTTATTTAAAATGAGGTTGTTTTTCTTACTCTGTTTCAGAAGAACCTCAGTGGCTGGGGTCATATGATCATAACCTGTGAAAAACTAGGACATAAAGTGTGCTTCTCAGTACAGTTTGGGTGTCTGTCCCATAACCCTTTGGCAGATGCAAACTTCTTTCTGGTGGTCCATGAATGATTAATCTCTTCTTCTCTTTGCAGGGGAAGGCAAAGAGGAAATTGTAAAGGTGACTTTTGGAGAGTTAAGACAACGGGTGGCTTTGTATGCTGCAGCTATGAGGAAAGTTGGAGTGAAAACAGGAGACAGGGTGGTTGGTGAGTATCCTCTGTGGCTATTGTCCAAGTGGGCCGGTGCTGAGGAGGAGATGCACTGGGCCCAGAACAAGCTCTTACTGAACTGGCTTTCAGGCTTGGGAGAAATGTTATTTTTATGGAGAGAACAGCATTCTGCCTAGTCAGCCTGTAGATCACTGAATAGTTGGCCTGGGTAAGACCTTAAAGATCATCTGGCAGAGTTCTCTTACTTTACAGAGGAGTTTGTGCCTAGGTCGGGGAGAGCCTGCTTGAGTCTGTGCAGTTAATCCGTGGCAGAGTTGGTTCTTTGACCCATATCTGCTTACTCTAAGACCAATACTTTTGTATTACACCACATTGCCTTTGCAGATGACAAAAGCTAACTTATTTGAGGATGTTTCTGCTCACTTACTTAATTTGTTAAGAACTGCAAATATTCATGCTATGGAGAAAGATTGTAAGGTATGTAGTATGCAAACAATTTAGTTACTGAAAGGAGTAGAAAAATACCTTTTGTATAAAGAAAAAGGGTGAAATAAATTTGTAAAGAAATATAGTTTCTTAGATAAAATGTGGGAGAATACTGGATAGAGAACTTATCTCTAAATGAATGTACTGAGAGGACTTGTTTGAAGGCAGAGAAAAGACGGAGGCTAAAGGGCATTGTGGTCTATCAGCTTACTTGCATTTGGCTGTTTTTAGAGTTTTCAGGATTATAACTAACAGAGTTGTAAATCAAATAGCTATGTGGAGAATATGGGAAGATTAACAGGACCATTTGGTTCTTACTTAACTTATACAACTGAATGAAAAAATGGATTTTTTTAGTTTAACGCAGGTTCCCTACCACTTGTTTAACTTCATAAGAGAATGTTGACCGTCTTCCCCACCTCTGCCCCTTAGTTCCTCTGGTTTCACTCAAGACTTAGCTCAAGGCCCACTTTTCCTGGTTCCCCCAACTGCTAGTGCCTTCCTCTCTGAAATTATCTTTTATTTACCTTATATATGTCTTATATGTATCTAAATTCCTTGAGGGCAGGGACTGTTTTTGCTTTTCTTTGTTTCTTCAGCGTCTGGCATATAGTAAGTGCTTTTAAATACTTGTTGCTTGCCTGACCACTAGGACACTCTCATTTGAGGCCTGAAAAGTGGAAAAGTCAGCTGTAAAGAAGCTAAGTGTGAAGAAACCAGCAGAGTATGCTGATGGGAAAATCTCAGCTGCTTTGATGGAAACTTGCTGATTGGAAGAGAGGCTATTGCTTTGCTGATTGGCTAAAGAAAAGCCTGGATAAGTTGTTTAGATGCTCCTTGGAAGAGAATCGAATTCTGTTGCTGCTTGACGTTATTGGCCTTCAGTGCCCTCTACCACTTGAGAGAGGAGAAGCCTCAGAGGTACCCAGTTGTTCTCTTCTGTCTCTAGTTTGAAAGGGAGATCCAGAGGGGAAAAGACAAGATTGTGCTGTGAGAAGAGACTTGACTGGCTGAGAGTTGATTGGACTAGGCAGAATCCTGTTTATTGAAGAGCTGGTTGGGCTCGTCTTGATTGCCTCCCTGGTTTTTCAGTTCTCAGGTATTGTTGTTTAGTCGTTTCAGTCATGTCCGACTTTTTGTGAGCCCATTTGTAGTTTTCTCAGCAAAGGTACTTGGTTTGCTATTGTCTTCTCCAGTTCATTTTCCAGATGAGGAAACTGAGGCAAACAGGGTTAAGTGATTTGCCCAGGCTCACACAGTTAGTAAGTGTCTGAGGCTGGATTTGAATTCGGTTCTTGTGACTCCAGACCTGGTGCTCTATCCACAGTACCACCAGCTGCCCTGGTGTAAGGGAACTGTATTCCCTTATGTATAGCATAATGGTTTTTAAAACCCTGTTAAGAGTAATTGTGAGTTAAAAGAACTTGTCACTTCTTTATCAGCTTGAGAGCCCAAGAGAAGTAGCTTTGCCCAATTGGAGAGAAGTTAGGACCAGACAGGAAACAGATAGTGAAGAGGCTTCATGTGGTGTGGATTGTCCTTGAACGGACTAAAGAAGTCAAAGTCTAAAGTCCAATTGTGAGGTTCTCCAAGAAGTTTGTTTCCCTGTCTTGTGCTTCCATTCTACATTTCCATAATTGTGTACCTATTCTCCCTTATGGACACTATGTGCATTGGTAGGAGAGTTATGACCCAGGTCTGTGGGTGAACTCTGATGAACTGATTATTCATTTGCCTTATATTGAGTAACTCTATTGTTGTGATTATTTATCCTTTTGCCTTATCATGAAGTATATGATTTATGTTTAAAAGTTAATGGTGTCATTGGCAACTGAGTTTGTGTAAATGGAAAGCACACCAGTGGGAACTTGGGAGCTATAGTGCCAAGTAGTAGTAGTGTATCTCCCCCCCCCCCCCCCATAATGTGTGTGGCAGGGAAACTCCTGGAATCCTGAGAGAGTTTAAGTTGTAGTAATGTGGCATACCCTTCTCTGGGAACCCCAGACCTATTGATATAAGGGCAAGTTGGGGTGAGCAAACTGAGAGTAGAATCTATGCTACGCCCAGGTACTATAATGTGGGAGCTCATTTCAAATTGATTGGTGGTGCTGTTTACATTTACATGGAAGAGATTGGGTAGCCATCTTGGTTTTCTTGGATTGTGATACGGATCCACTAAAGCAAAAAGAATTTTGAATATTTTTTTTTGAACAGATAATTTTTTGGGGAGTGTTTTCCTTCCAGACTGTTTTTTCTTTTTCTTTTCTTTTTTCCAGACTCTTTTCTATGATATAATTTTGATTGTTTGGATATTAAATATTAATCTTTGTTGATTTATTATACCTATTATTAGGTATGGAAGTTAATGTGAGCAGTCCAGATATAACATGTCTAGAGCACTGGTGCTTTAGCAATGTAGGTAGAGGTTCATAGAAGACTCTTAGTTAAGGGAGCAGCACCTGTTGTAAGAGCTAAAGAAAGAAGCTGTTTTACAAGAGGATTTTGGAAATGCAAGGAAATGTGAAATACTAAGAAGCACGAGAAAGGTGGTATCCTATTTGTTTTCTGTAAATTACTTGAAGATGTAGGCCCTTCTGAAATTCCTAGCAAGATAGGGGGCAGCTGGATGGCGCAGTGGATAGAGCACTGGCCCTTGATTCAGGAAGACCCAAGTTCAAATGTGGCCTCAGACACTTGACACTTTTACCAGCTGTGTGATCATGGGCAAGTCACTTCACCCCATTGCCTCAAAAAGAAAACCCCTCAAAAAACCCAACAACAACACAAAAAGAAAAACAAACAAGATACGGGTTCCAGAGAGTGACTGGAGTCTGATCTTAATTAATGAGATAAAGTATTGTTATCAAATCTTAATTTATTATATTAAGTTTATTAATCAATTTGTATTAATATTACACTAAATATTATTATGTGGTGATAAATCATTATAATTAACTTGGAAGAAAAAGCCATTTCAAATGCAAGAAACAGTTACGGATGTTAATAGGTTTCCCCACATCGTAGAGTATAATGAAATACAAAGTGGAACCACAGGTCCAAGCTAGAACTTTTTTTAGGGAAGGAGCCATGTTCCCCTGAGGAATGCCATGGAGCATTTGGGTCACTGTATCATTGTCAGTTATAAGAGTGGTGACAAGTGGATATGCATGGTTTCCACAATTAATTGCCTTTCTTCAAGTTTCATTTCACATTTAGCTTTTTAAAAAGTAGCATTTCTAATGGAATTACTAAATAAGCCCTTCTTGGTTTTCATAGCCGGTTTAGACTACTGCTCTGACCTCACAGAATTTGAGTTGGAAGGGTCCTCAGGGGTGATCTGGTACAAGTCTTACCTGAAGAGCAGTCTCCTTTACAACATTCCTAATAAGTGGTCATTTGGTCTCTGCCTGATGGCTTCTAGTGGTGTGGAACCTGTTACTTCCTCAGGTGGCCTGTTCTACTTTTGGTCAGTTCTATTTGTAAGGGAATTGTCAAACAATCTGTCTTGTTTGATTGGAATCTTCTTTTCTGGTTAAGCATCTTCACTTCCTTGTACTACGTGGTTTCTAGTTCTATCCTTCCTCATCCTGTGCCCTTCTTAAAATGTGGCTCTGAAAACTGAAATTTTAATCAGAGTGTCAGAAAAGCTGTTAGAAGCAAAGCAAAATTATAAAGTATATCAAGTACATAATTGTCTATTGCAAAAGCATATTTCAACTCACAGAAGTATTCAGACTAAGAAGAGACTCTTAGAGTTCATTAGTAAGTTAACATTTTGTTCTAGGCACACCTAGAAAGCAAGGAAATTAGACTATGTCTTTATTAACTCTGGAGTTCCGTGGGTCTGAATTTTCCTAGGTAGAGAAATATAAGGTTGATGTTAGGATCTACTTGCCCAAGGGCCAAAGAAGATAAATAAAGAATATCTGCAATTATAATTTGTGAAGATTAAATTTAGAAAAAAACATCATCATTGCATTCATTTTCAGGAGCATTTTTATGCACAGTGAGAGTGTCTTGTTTTCAAGGACAGTTTTTCAAGATTGCATTCCTGATCTCTAAATAGTCCCAGCCTTTACCTTAAAGGAGTTTCTGTTTGATTAGATGTAAGAAAGCACACACATAAAAAAGTAATATAAAAATGCTTGCTTGTTTTCCTGCTATCTATTCTTGGGAGATCAAGGTTTCTTCATGCTTAACTTTCACTCCTTATAATACTAGAGAAGAACAAGGAACCATTTTGAAGACTGGGAGGAAAGTCAGTGATCCTATGGCTTGACCCTTTGGTCCTTTAAATATTATTGAACTTTTGGTGTGTATCTAAAGAAATCATCTTAGGTATAATTTGTGTTAGGAGAGATGGAAGGAGAAAGTTTATCTGTGAGAGGCAAGAATCTCCAAATTTAACAGGTAACAATGAAGCAAGTTGACTATCTAGAACATAGTAGGTGCTTAAGGAATATATCTTGCTTTATTGATTGTTGGTTTCTGGAGGGAAACTGAAGAGATCTAGAAACTAGAGAAATGGGCCATTTCCCAGAGCAGGTCAGTTTTTTTCAGGCCCAAACCCTACTTTTCTTAGGTTCATTCTAGTTAGTATCTTTTATGCTTAAGACCCTGGTTTTCACAGAGCATTGCTATTCTAGAAGCAACTTAAAGATCAGCATGTTTGCAATGGCTGTATTTGATTTGTCTGTTTCAGGGCCTAAAAAACATCCTAGAAAGTAATGTTAGTAGTATGGTGGGAAGGCAGGAGGCCTGAACTGGGTGGTCAGGAGACCTTGTTTTTTTTTTTTTTTGGTGAGGCAGTTGGGGTTAAGTGACTTGCCCAGGGTCACACAGTTAGTAAGTGTCATGTATCTGAGGCCGGATTTGAACTCAGATCCTCCTGACTCCAAGGCCAGAGCTCTTATCTACTGTGCCACCTAGCTGCCCCGAGATCTTGGCTTTAAAGCCACCTTTGACATTGACTCACTATGTGCAAGTCATATCACTTCTCTAGGACTCAGTTTACCTTTCTTTAAAGCAAGGAAATTAGACTAGGTCTTTACCAACTCTGGGTTCTGGGAGTCTGAACTTTCCCTGTCCTTAAAAAAACGAAGAAAGAAGGAAAAAAAAGTAAAATACCTTCTTAACCTTTCTTGAGCTCTGGATTACATCTTTCTACCTTGCTCATGGAGAATTGACATTAAGTTAAACATAGTCCAGCTTTACTGTTTGTTTACTTTGGCTCTGTTATAAATATGATCTTTCAGAACTGTATGTTTTGAGGGAGGAGGAAGGTTTACAGGGAATGAATGATTCCTTGTGTTGAGAAATTTGTTTCATTTTACTCCCTTCCCAGCAGGGAACCAGATGATTTAACTGAAAAATTCAAAGGAAACTCTTCTGTTTATCAGTGAAGTAGTAGAAGACAGTTTGAGAAAACTTGTTCCAGGTAATGTTGCTTAGGTCAGTCATGTAATCTACTTCATAAGGAAGAACAGACTTCTGCCATTTTTTGGTCACTGAAAAGCCAGGTAGGTCTTAAAAGATCTTCTCTGGACTGAATATTGAACAAGTGTTTTGAGTAGTTACTTCCTACTGGTCAGCTAAATATTAGCTTAGTGGATTTTCACATTGGAAAAATGTGAATTTGTGGGTTGGTCCTAATTCACTTTCAAACAATAGATTCTTTTTGAGAGATAAGTAGGAGGCATGTTAATACAGTGTTTTTCTTTGAATACGTATACAATGAAATATGGCAGTAAGAAATATATTCCATTGATTAGGAAATAGTTTAACAAATTGTAGCATATGAATGTAATGGAATAATCCTATACCATACACAACAGTTAAGAAGAATTCAGAGAAACATGGGGAGGGTCTGTAGGAGCTGATGTAAAGTGAAGTCAGCAAAACTAGGAAAATGATGTACATAATGACTACTCAATATAAATGGAAGAATAATAGGAAAAAACTGAACACTTTCTAATGACCAAGCTTAGTCTCAGAAAAGGGGAGAAAAAAATGCACCTCTTTCCTTTCCAGTAGAGAGAGAGAGAGAGAGAGAGAGAGAGAGAGAGAGAGAGAGAGAGAGAG